GTTATTACTGTGTTAATCCTGTGTTATTACTGTGTTAGTCCTGTGTGATTTCTGTGTTATTACTGAGTTATTTCTGCTATTCCTGTGTTATTTCTTTGTTATTACTGTGTTATTCCTGTATTATTACTGTGTTATTTCTGTTATTACTGTGTTATTAATGTGTTATTCATGTGTTATTCCTGTGTTATTACTCTGTTATTCCTGTGTTATTTCTGTGTTATTACTGTGTTATTACTGAGTTTACCCTGTGTTATTCCTGTCTTATTACTGAATTATTACTGTGTTATGTGTTATTCCTGTGTTATTACTCTGTTATTCCTGTGTTATTACTCTGTTATTCCTGTGTTATTACTGTGTTATAGTTATTCCTGTGTTATGTGTTAATTCTGTGTTATTCCTGTGTTATTACTGCATTATTACTGTGTTATTACTGTGTATGTCCTGTGTTATTTCTGTTATTCCTGTTATTTCTGCTATTACTGAGTTATTCCTGTGTTATTTCCCTGTGTTATTACTGTGTTATTGCTGTGTTATTACTGTGTTAATCCGGTATTATTCCTGTGTTATTACTGCGTTATTACTGTGTTATTACTGTGCTATTCCTGTGTATTTCCTGTGTTATTTCTGTTATTACTGTGTTATTCCTGTTATTTCTGCTATTACTGAGTTATTCCTGTGTTATTTCTGTGTTATTACTGTTAATCCTGAGTTTACTGTGTTAATCCTGTATTATTCCTGTGTTATTAATGCATAATTACTGTTTTATTACTGTGGTATTACTGTGTTAATCCTGTATCATTCCTCTGTTATTACTGATTTATTCCTGTGTTATTACTGTGTTATTCCTGTGTTATTACTGAGTTATTCCTGTGTTATTACTGTGTTATTCCTGTGTTATTACTGCGTTATTACTGTGTTATTCCTGCAAGTCCAACTCGACTTGGACTTGCCTGTCTTGACTCGGGACTTGACTTGGGACTTGTCTGTCTTGACTCGGGACTTGACTCGAGACTTGAATGCAAAGACTCGAGACTTACTTGTGACTTGCAAAACAATGACTTGGTCCCACCTCTGCTATTCCAATAAGTGGTGACAAGACTCAGAGAGAAAAATCACCAATAAAAGCAATATTAAAGTTGTAAATGTCCACATGAATCGTACACTATATTACAAGTCTTCTGAAATCACAGATCGAAATAAGTCGCTATTTATCGATGGTCATGCTCTGAGAGAAGTGTTAGCGCTATTTGTGAACGAACGGCTCGTGTCTTTTCACCGAGTCAATTGATCTGAAACCATAACCCGAGGAATGAATTAGGGGCTGTTTACACCTGGTCACTTCATGCGTTTTGTCTGATCAGATAGCTATCCTATCATGAAAAGACCAGGTGTAAATGCCCTCCGAAACGCATTTGAGACGGACATAAATCTGATCGCTCAAACCACTTCAGGAGGTGGTCTGGGCCGCATTCCAGACGAAACTGGACAAGTGTAAATGCATCTGGTTGTTGAAACCACATATGCAAATTTTACTCCTCTCAAAATGTTAAAATAATAAACGTGTGGCCAAGGGTAAATGGAAACGTTTTAACAAATCCGATCAGCGAAAACACATGAAATGACCAGGTGTAAAGAGGCCCGACGTGTTCTGGAGTTCACTATCAATAAAAGCTCACTCCATACTTACATAAAGCTAATGTACTACTACTAATTTTGCAACATTTTTTAGGATTAACGTCAATAATTCACTGTCATCTAAAAGACATTATTTAAAATATCTTCTTTTGCATTTCTTACAGGTTTGGAACAACATGAGGGTGAGTATAAACGATGACAGAATTTACATTTATTGGTGAACCAGTCGTTGAATATCATATAAATAAGACTGTTTCCCAGAGGGCCTTATTTTATAAATCCAAGACGTCTATATCTTAAAATGAATCTTCACGCTCATGTTTTGCACAAGATCTCCCTTCAGACTGTAGCCTACTGGGCTTTTGTTTCAAAGCCTGTGTTAAAATTCAGAGATCAGGGAACTGCTGAGGGTAGAAAAATAGACCCACAACCCTCCTGACACAAAAGGCAGATTTTGGCAGTTTGCTTCAACAAGCATTTTGAGGAAAGATCAAGGACAAACTGAGGAAAAACAGGTAGTCTGAGCAGGAATAGCTAGCTTTTCTAATTCTTTGCATAGTCCACAAGGCATCTGAACTGTTTCCTTTATGTTAATGCTGTACTTGGAATGATGATTAAAATCGCAATTTATTAATATAGATTTATACACTTATACTATGCTGAGTATAATAGAGGATGGATCTACAGACTGAACTGAAGCGTCCTGCTGAGAGCAATTTTGCTTCTCTCCTTTTAGTCCACAGCTCTCTTATGATGCCAGTACTGGGACTTATTCTATTCTAGTCCCATGATGTCACTTGTTTTCTCTGTTTTGGCTGAGATTTGCTTGAATGGGTCTTCCGTGCTCCCGTGGTCCTTAGCGCAAGCCCATACAATACTATAACAGCAGGGGCCAGAACAAAGGCTGCTATATTTAACTCAGCAGAAAGTGCTGCATCAGGCTGTATATGTGTAGGCCATGGTGTGTCTTGCGGCAACTCTGAATTCAGCTCAATGATGTGTGAGAAGGAAATCCAGCTCACATGAGGACAAAACTGAGAATGTGCTGGAAAAGTTCATGATAATCAAATGTGCTGAGACAGCAGTAGCTCCAGGGCATGTGCTAAGGGGAACTGAAAAAATTGAAAAGTCAATTTGGGAGAACTCAGATCCTGGGGGTCTGCAGATGCCAGTTATCCACAGAATAAGCCGGAGGCTGTTATGGCTGATGAAATAGAAGATTTTTCTCTTCTACAAAGAGAAGGACACAGAGGTCTTTGAATACAGATTGAGAAGTATTCATAGAGGATTTTGCAACACACCAAATTGGCTCTTGGATAGTAGGAATATACTGCCACCTGCAGGTTATGGTAAGTATCACTTCATGAGGATGCTAGACAAACAGCAACAACAGTAGATGTAACAAAAAAAGAAAAAGAAAATTAATTATAAATCTATTGGTATTTACTTTCAGATACCATTTCCAGTTATACTGTGTCATGTTTTTGTGCAATGTATCAGAGGCACTAGAGAAATGAAACGTATCATAATTCACAGAAGAATTGTCATTTATTAAAAAGTTAATTTCATATTTAATGTATACACATTTGTTTTCTGTTTTTTTTTTTTTTTACATTATATTGCCTACGTAAGCTAAGCAAATTTAACAAACACATCACTTGATAAACTTCATAATTATCTTTAAATTATTTGTTCAGTGTGACTGAATTCAAGTCAAATCTTGATACATTCCTCTACTTCACATCAAAACATCATAAGTATGCATTTGCAAGAGAAGTAGAAAAAACAAGAATATGTGATACAAAAGTTGATCGTATCACACACAAGAATCTCAGCAAAAAAATATTTCACCTTCTTAATGCCCTGAGCTGTATTAATTTATGCAAGGCTCTCATTAAGCCAATGTCACCCGCTGACCTGCTTTAAACGAAGCAGTGCTCTGAGACTTGCCTTCCTTTGAGGCTCCATAAGACTCATATCTGCATAACAGAAGGAGAAACCCAACACAAATATGTGATTTAGCAATGCAGTGGTGTGACTGTGGTTGCACTATATTTCAGGTGATTTATGTGAATGAAGCACAGAAGCGTGTATGTGAAATGTGTAACTCACAGTTCAGTGTATCTCCTCCAGTCTTCTCTGCTGACAGATGCTCGAGTGTTAGCCAAAGCAGAGATCAGGTGAGTTTGGCATATGACAGAGCCAGGCTTACTGGGGCCAGTCTGCACTAGAGATGATTCATCCTATAAACACAGAAGAACAGCAGATCTCATCTACTGAGCAGGAACAGTGACTATACACTGCTACACACTCTAACATAGTCCTCTGGTGGATGGATGGAAAAACTATAGGGATATTAGCAATAAAGGGATGGATATATGCATGCATGTTTTGGAAAACTAGAGGGTTATATCAATGGGTGGATGAATGCATGTACAGATGAATGGATGAATAGGAGGAAAACTTGAGGCATATAGCAATGGATGGATGGAAGGATGATGGAAAAACTAGAAGGATATAGCAATAGATGGATGGGGTTGGAAGGACAGGTGGATGGAAAACCTAGATTGATATAATGATGGATGGATAGATGGATGGATGGAAAAACTAATGGGATACTATACTAGCAATGGATGGATGGATATATGCATGTATAGATGGATGGATGGATAGGTGTATGGGTGTATGCATGTATAGATGGATGGATGGATGGGTGTATGCATGTATAGATGGATGGATGGATAGGTGTATGGGTGTATGCATGTATGGATGGATGGCTGAATGGGTGTATGCATGTATAGATGGATGGATGGATAGGTGTATGGGTATATGCATGTATAGATGGATGGATGGTTGTATGCATGTATAGATGGATGGATGGATAGGTGTATGGGTGTATGCATGTATAGATGGATGGATGGACAGGTGTATGGGTGTATGCATGTATGGATGGATGGATGAATGGGTGTACTGTATGCTTGTATGGATGGATGGATGGGTGTATGCATGTATAGATGGATGGATGGATAGGTGTATGGGTGTATGCACAGCCACTGAAAAATCCATATAGGTTAGCTAGTAATCTTGGGGTTAGGGTTTTATCTGTATGTGTGCATGTTTGAGTTTGTGTGTAACACACATGGAGAATGTTGGGCCCCAGGCTGCTGTGGATCGCCTCTAGCTGAGCGTTATAGAGAAGGGCCTTTAGGTCAGCTCCAGTGAACAGCTCTGTTGCCACAGCAATCTGCTCCAAGTCCACATCTGCAGCCAGTGGCACAAAATGAGTCAAAGCCTTCAGGATCTCCAGCCGGGCCTCCTGAAGGACAGATATAAATCAGTAAATTGATACTGTAGGTGTTACAGGTATAAAGAGGTTAAAAGGATAGTTCACCCAAAAACGAAAATTACCCCATAATTTACTCACCTTCAAGCCATCCTAGGTGTATATGACACTTCTATGGATGGACGGATGAGAAAACTAGAGGGATACATCAATGGATGGATGGACTGGATGCATGTATGGATGAAAAAATTAGAAGAACATAGCAATGAATGGCAAAACTGGATTGATGGATGGATGGAATATAGTAATGGGAAAACTGGATATAACAGCAGATGGAGGAAAAAACTAGATGCATACTAGATGTATATACTGTAACGGCAGATGGATGAAAAGACTAGATAGACGTCACAATGGATAGATAGGAAATTTGATATATAAAAAATGGATGGATGAATGATGGGTGAGAAAGGTAACTGACCGGGTTTCTGCGGTAACTGTTCTTAACAGTGTTGACTTCTGCTCTGAGGCGTTCTGAATGCTCATGTGTCAGCTCCTGAAAGCCGTCCTGCAGACAGGACATAAAAACTGGGGCATGACAGGAGTTTGGATCCCTCACTGATGCCCCTGTCAGGTCGGGGGCGGTTGAATTGGGTCCAGACAGGCACTGAGAATTCTGGGAGCAGAGCAAACAGAACGTGACAGTCTCATAAGCAGCTCAAAAAGTGTTAAATCATATAATCAATTACATTAAGAAGACATTTGAAATATTATAACACTGATTCATATTTAATTGTAAATAATAATCCATTACAAGTCCACTTGGAAATTTAGTGTCCCACCAGTTCAGACAGAGACTGGTTGTCCAGTTCAGACTCAAAGGAGCTTCCGAAGTAAAGGCGCCAGATGTTGTGGCGTGGGTCCTCAGGTGGGAGTTCACTGGGGTCCAGCAGAACCATAGAGTGCTCCAGCCCTGTGTCCCCCTCCCCAGCTGAGTCATCTGACCCGCTGCTATGGTTCAGGAAGATCAGGGAGGAGAGGCTGACATCACTGTCTGACCCCGAGCCCAGATCCTATAAAACACAGACAGAGTCTGCTTCACATGCAAGCTGAAAATGTACCACTCATGTACTAAGCTGAAAATTCAGCTTTGCCATCACAGAAATAAATCCCATTAGAACATATATTCAAATAGAAAACAGTTATTTTAAATTGTAATTATATGTCACAATATTACTGTTTTTGTATTTTTTTTATCAAATAAATACAGCCTTAGTAAAATTAAGAGACTTCTTTAAAAACAAACAATCTTTTGAACAGTAAT